ACAAAGCTCCCCAGTCATAATATGGAAGTGCTGTCCAGCCTTCCTAAGAAAGCTGTGATTGCCCTTAGAAAGAAAAGGTTATGTTCCATAAATTTCATTCAAGTAAGCACTACTGTTTACCAAGAGCTGAATGCTAATGAATCAACAATATCTACAAAATAAAGTGTCTTTAAAGGGAAAACACATATACATGGTTATATGTTGAAGAAAATATGCTCAGAAGTTCAGATTCATCTGTATTTTTCTTATAACAAAGGTTCAACATTCATTAATTCAGTGTTTGTGGTGACTTTAACTAATTAATTAAAATTAACTTTTAAAAAATCCCATGGTTACAAGGCTACCTAAGGAAACAGAGAGGCTGTCATGACAACACACTGTGTGTGAAGGTATAAACTGTAATGCCAGCACTCTAGATAACAGGAAGGCAGGAGCCCAAAGTAATCCTCACCTACATAGTTGGGTAGAGGCCAGCCTGGGTTATATGGGACTCTGTCTCAAAAATTTTTTTTCATAATCTGAAATTCACTAAACAACTACCCTGTATACTTTTATGATTAACATTAGTACATATTCGCCCTATCATTTTAAGGAAGATTTTTATGAAAGAGATGTTGAATATCAAGCAAGCCAGAATTACATGGTAAAACACTGTCTCAAAAAAAAAAAAGGGCACAATCTGCCTACCAATGGTTAAAAAACAGGCTCCAGAAAAACTGATAAATTCTTAAAATATGCTTATCAAAAGATTAAAAATGATAGGTAATGTTGATGTAAAAATGTGTCACAAAATTGTAGGATCAAGAGCCAGGGTGGTGGCCCACACTTTTAATCTCAACCCTCAGGAGGCAGAAGAAGGCCTGAGTGTGAGACCAGCTTCGTGTACAAAGTGAATTCCAGGACTGCCAGCAATATACAGAAAGACCATGTCTCAAAAAATCATAAACAAACATTTAAAAAATATTTATATGCACACAGGATCGAAACCCAATCTAGCAGAGTGTGGTAGTGCATGCCTTTAATTTTAGCATCTAGGAGTCAGAGGCAGAAAGATCTCTGAGTGAGTTTGAGGGGAGTCAGGTCTACATGTGAAGTTCCAGGCCTCTCTGTGACACACTGAGACTCTGTGGGGTCAGGTCTACATGTGAAGTTCCAGGCCTCTCCGTGGTCTCAGAGGGGAAAAAACACAACCCAACCTTCGGTAGTGATGGTGGTGGGGGTGTTGCCACAGGCTTTTAATCCCAGCACTCAGGAGGCAGAGGCAGACAGATCTCTGTGAATGAGGCCAGCCTGGTCTACAGAGTGAGTTCCAGGACAGTCAGGGCTACAGAGAAACCTTGTCTTGAAAACAAACAAACAAACAAACAAAACCTCAATTAATACTTTATTCTTTGTTCATTCTAAAACTCAGATACAATTTCAATTTATAAAACCTAATACAAACAATCTATTGTTATAATTTTGAGCTTTATTTCTCTAGATTGAACCAGAATACATTTTTTTTTTCTTTTTTGGTTGTTTTGAGACACAGCCTCACTATGCAACCCTGGCTGTACTGGAACTTCCTGTGTAGACCAGGTTGGCTTTGACCTCAGAGATCTACCTGTCTATTTTCTGAGTACCACAATTAAAGGTGTGTGCTACCACATCCAACTATCAGATATTTTTTTTTCTTTTTCTAATAAACTTTTGTTCTCTGTGTCAATGGGTTAATTTTACATGCTCATTTTTTTTTTGACAGGCTCTCTACATAGGCCTAGCTATCTTGGAACTCAACAGAGAAAGAGATCTACCAGCTTCTGCTTCCCAGTGCTAGGATTAAAGGTGTGCACCACCATGCCTGGCTACATGTTCACTTTCTAATCCAATTATCTTGGAAGAACAATAGTTCCTATATTGTTAATATTTTATTGTATAATGTCTCCCAATTTTCTATATGCAAAGAGATGTATAAGATATATATAATATATATTCCCCCCAACTAGACTGATTTGTTATCTGTTCACTCACACAGTATAATTTTCTTGGGGAAAAGATATTTATTTATTTTTTGTTTTGTTTTGTTTTTCTTTTGAGACAAGGTCTCACTGTGTGGCTTTGATTGGCCTAGAACTCATTGCATAGATCAGGCTATCCTTGAACTCACAAAGATCTGCCTGCCTCTGTTTCCTAAGTGCTAGGATTAAAGGCATGTGCCATGTCCAAATCTTCTGCTATTTTTATCTAGTCTTCTAACTTCAGCAAAGTGCTAGAGCACATAATGGGATATCAGTAAATGATACTGAGATACTGATGGCCATAAGCCATATTTGACCTGAAACTTTTCTAATTTATTGGCAAGAATAAATCCACTCTCACTAACTCTATTTTGGCTCTTATTATCATACAGATAAGCCTCAGTTCCCAGAACAAGATTATTTTTACTAGTCAGCATTAAAAAAGTGTGGTGGCATACACCTTTAACCCAGAGTTTGGTAGACAAAGGCAGGCAGTGAGTTCCAGGCCACTCGGATCTGCATACCCCAGTCCAGGCCAGCTAAAG